CTTTCCCTATCTGCTTTCTGGTTGATTTACCGGTTTTGAAAGTTCAGCTTTTAATATTTCTTAAAAGGTGAAAAACCCCGAACATGCGAAAAATAGCTGTAAATGTGACCAATAAATTTCAATATACTGTTCAGGCAAAATCGTAAGCATGCCATTTTGTGTATATTAAGATAACTTTCCCGTCGTAAGACTTATTTATAAGTATTTCGGGTATTGGATCACGATTACGTTTAGCTTGTCCTTGAAAATCTGGTGAACAGTTTACAATTTTTTATGTTTTTGAGCTGCTTCCCCTAAGTTTGGATTCTGCTCTCTGTGTTAAAAAAGCCCTTCAGCATAAGACATTGCTTAAAATCAGTTACCACAGAAATGAGTTTTTCAATATTCTTTCTGAGAAAGATGGCCGTTGGGGTCATATTAGTAGCCTAATACAAGCCAAACATCTTTCAGTGCTCGCCGTATGAAAACAAAAGGTTTGGTGAGGAAATAGGGTCCAGAATCTTTCAATACTTCGGATGCAGGCTTCTGAACTTAATTTTTAAGGGGAGGCATTGATTGGTTTAATAGTTCGGACTAGATGCACATCAGTTTTCTTTATTTAACTTCGAGATATCAATTTATTTCCACTTTTGCGACAACGTTGGAGCATGTAACTAATACTGAAGGTTTTGGTGTAACCTGCTGCAAGATCGCAAGTGACGTATAAAATATCCGGATGTTACTTCAAATTAAGGCTAATTTATCGATTAGAAAGCTAATTTAGCTCAGCATAATGAATGAGCCGAAGGCTCAGCGCCGCCAACGAGCGCACATGCATGCCCGTCCGTCTAGCTAATCAGCCTTCAAGGCCAACTCACACGGACCTCAATGCAGTGGCTGTCCTCAGGCCAGGATTCTGGGCCAAGCCATCCTAGTGAATGGACGGGCGGTCTGTCAGTTGAATTCGTCCTATGTATTCTCCAGTCCTTCTGTACAGAATATATTGTTCCTACCACTCTGGGCTTCCCATGACTTCTCGTCTCCTAAGGAACCGGGCCTGAAGATCACAGTTGCTAGGCTTTCACTTACTTAACCTACTGCGATAACCTCCCGTTCAGCTTTGGCATCTTAAAGACTTAAAAAATCTCTCTCATCACCTAATATATACTCCGAGAAACCACGTCTACCCATTTTCAACGAAGAAAGATATGCAAAGAAGTTGGTCTTAAATGTTCCGTAAAAGGAATGCTACAGTCTACGCACGCAGATCTATTCAAACTAAAAGTTTTCCTTTTATGACCAGTACACAATTTCTGCTTAACTTAAAAAAAGTAAGTCGAAAAGGTTTCCACAAGAAAGCCAGTCCGAACAGCAGGGTAATTCTAGGATGAGAGAGTTTTTTAAAAGCAGTGCGAATCCTCATTATCCTTATTATAGGTTACCGACTTTTTAAGCGCACACGACCGTATCAAAAAACAGCTTACAGTCGGCGTTGGTCGACAGCGCACAATTCGCATTTCTGTTACATTGGAGCACATGTTTTCCAGCCCCTACGCGATAACCATACCGACGCCACATGAGGGCGAATGTTACGCATATGCGCTGAGGCAATCGTCTGGCCTAATTTCCACGCTAATCAGCCGTCGTGGATGTGGCAGGCACAGTTGTGTATTTAAAAAACCTCTGGCGCGCAGCTACTACAATCTATTAGCAGGAATTTGAGGTAGCAAAGTTGTCCGACTAAAAGAGCAGGGGCAGAAAAAAATAGTTACACGATTGAAGCCAAGTTAATTCTGTATGCACAAGAAGGCAGCAGAAGGCAGCGCCGAATGAGCAGGCATCTGAGAGGGGGCATCAGATAAAGTTACTGAGAGGACGAGCCAGCTGAAGACCGTGTTGGGGATGCGAGTGAAACCAGTCAGAAATGTCCGCGAACCAGAGGGTGCTGTTGACGGACCTTCCATTGGCCGGCCCTCTCGGGGTGCACACTACTCCCGACCTACCAAAGACAATGATCTTGGTGTGATCTAGAAAGTAATTGGCCTGCCAGCCGCCGTTGGAGAAGAGGAGCGTGATTCCCTCCTCCCAGACTCTCCAGCGCAGCACAAAGAGCGGCGAGGAGGAGGAGGATGATGATGCCACGGGTGGCCTCTCGTATCCGCTCTCGTTGATGACCTTGAGACTGGGGCGAAAGCGGCAGAGGTTGCGCTGTAGGCGTGAACACTGTTGTCTAACATGTGCAGTGCTGGGCAGTCTGTGCAGGGGCACCGGCTGTTCTTCATCTTCGAGCTTTGACGGGCTGAATTGAGTAACCCTAGCACACAATACATTATGAGGGCATTAGGAGTGCACTGGAAAGCGCTGCGTAATCATGTATTTATTAACCGTATTAAATTTGAGTGCCCTG